AACCGAACTCCAGAAATCAACAGGTTGCACTGGCACTGCTGGTCCGCGAGTCTTGATCTGCTGCAGGAGCTCTAGACATCTCTAGACTGTATAGGGCTCGAAACTAGACTGTAAAAGGAAAGAGGGACTTCTGCTCAGCTTTACAAATACAGAACCAGAAAGCCACGAAGCCAGGAGCCTGCAAAGAGTCGGGGAGGACGCCAAGGTTTGAGGTTTGAGATTTATTCCTCAAAGTCGGCTCAAACATGTTGCTGCACGTGCTATGAATATTACACTCTCGTTGCTCTGCATGCTTGAGCCCTCCTGGATTCCAACTCTTTTCTGGCTGCGACAACTACTTTAAATAACTGTACTTGACCGCTTCCGAAAATGGAACTTATTCAAAAGACCCACCATCAATTAATAGTTAAGACATGCTTCGATGATCGGTAATAATGGGGGCATCGCCTTCATTGCGAATCTCATCATGCGAGGACATAGACTGATCGAGGACAGCTTCGGCTCGCATGCATGGACGGCTTGAAAATAGCCGGGAACGCCAGCATAACCACCTCTGTTGTTATTGCTGGTGCTGACTGCAAATGCGGGAAAGTGCGATGCACCTATGTATGAGAAGTCTTGGGTTTTTGCTATGCTTGACAACTCTTGTACCTGTGACTTGTGTGCTTCTTGACTTGCAAACCCTTCAGACTCCGGTACTTGTGTACTACGCTGCACCTGCTATAAATGGCGAGACTTCTGCGACATCTAACTGTGAAACCAAAAGCTGCACGCGCTGAAACAGGTGTTTGCGCTTCTGTGCTCTCGATTCTTGCAAAGGAAGTAGGCATGTACTTCTGTGTTTCCGACAATTTCACACGCTGCAACTGAATGTATATCTATGCTGCCGGATAATATAGGAAACTTGGTAGCTACGCTGCAACTGCGCGGTCGGGAGTGTTTCCGAACGTTGCAAATCATCTACCTCATCCCAGACTTCTGCGCTTATCGCGCCGAAGGCGATTGGACTTGCAGGACCACTGTGCTTTCGAAGACACGAAATGCAGGTATGTGGCATCATGCGGCGATGATAGAAGGTTTTTCAGAACACCTCTTGGATAAGAAAGTTGCAATGGAAGCATGAGCCTCGGGCTGAATCGGGCTGAGCATGGAGGTCTTTGCGAAGATTTTAACTCGAACCCCACAATGGGGGTGCTAGATGGTGTCAGAAGATTTCTAATGGGCTTAACTCCTGGGAGTAGCGAAGTGGATTCGGCAGCTGGTCTGCCCGAACACTAACGACCTAACTCTTGCGCTGTCCAGTCGGGATCAAAAAAACCTGAAAAAACGATCTCCGTGGCCGGCGTAGCTTTTGAGATCTTTTGAACATAATTTGCCTAGTCGTGAGTCGTGTTGCACCGTGTTTCATCTCGGCATGACCTCTGTTCTCCGAGGCGCTTTGTCCACGGTGCCCATGAAATCTGCGAAGTCGGCGCGGTTCACCAAAGCCTGCCGGCTGCGAGCATCACATGTGGTGCAATTCCATGAGATTCGTCCTGCAGCCTGCAACGATGATGGAGAGTGCTCGACATCTCTGGCGGTGACGACCAGCTGTGTATCGATAAGCTAACTGTGCGTGCTCAACCATTTGATCCTGTGCGACCTGCCGAGGTCTGCATCATGTTTCCATCAGTTTTCGACACCGGATCAGTGGATTAGCTTTTCCGCAGCCTGCACCACAGCTTCAAGGCCGCTAGCTGCCGCCAGATGCAGAGCCTTCAGACTTGCGAATGTAGCTGTGGGCTTTCCAGTGCAGCATTAGGCCTCTGGCTGTGCTGCCATCTCTCTCCCGAACCTTTGGAACAGAGAGGTCAAAGTCCCCACATGCCAGCAAGGCCTGGCCAGCAAAAACCAAAAAAAGGTGCGTATCGGCGACCATTGCATGCAGCGTGCAGTCACGGGCCAAAGGAAGCGAGCCCAGGCGGCCAGGGCAGCATTGCCCAGCTCTCGGCTGCACGCAAAGTGCAGCGCTGTCCCTTCCTTAGGCCACCCAGAACTAGAAACTAGACCTGATTCAGCATAAAAACATATATGTAACTACTCCAATCCTCAACGCCCTGCCTGTGTAACCAGAGCCTCCGAACAAGATCTTATCTGTGCTCGAGGCTTTGATAAACCAGTGAGTATGCGGTAAAAAAAAGGTTTTGATTTTTGTTGAAAATTCACTATGTTTTCGCGATTGATTCCAGCCTTGATCCTTGATTTTATCACTTGTCCATCATTTCTGCTTGCTTCTACTATTGGCACCCATGTTCCGTAAGTTGGTTGTGCTTCACTATTTAACTAGATTCACTTTTTGATCATTCTATATCATTCTCCACTTCATTCTCCATTACTTTCACTGAATCCACGTGTTAGTTGCTTTTCAATAGCTTCAGTCAGTTCACGACGTGTTCACTGTTTGTTCATCATTTTCTTGATTATGTTCGTTCTATTTCTTTATTCCTGTCACTATTTTCATTAATTTTCATAAGTTTCACTGTTGTTCACTGTTTTTCGTTGTGGTTTCACGATATGTTCACTCCTTTCCGGCTGTTTAATCACTGTCTAGTCGCTACTTGGATCAGTACTTTTTCACTAAGTAGATATTCGGGGAATCCAAATCACTAAGTAGTTATTTCACAAAACAGATCAGAAATTCCAATGCTGGCCAGCCCCTGCTGCTCAGGCACAATCACTCACTTAACAATGGGTAAATCATTCAACACCACCTCAACGGTTGTCCGATCTCCCCACTAAAATGCTGCTACTGTATTGTGCTAAAAACAGTGTCTGCCAACGAGTTTTGCTGAAAGTTGCGGTGGCATCCACCGCGTTCAGCTCGAAGCGTGGCAGTGGGGACACGACACAGCTGAGCCCTGGCAACAGGTTGGACTCTGGGTCGAATAGCCGCATCTGCGAAGCGCAAAGCTATGCGAGCTACTCGGTCCAGGTCGCACTACGACACAGTCACGAGCAAGCGAGCCCTCGCAACTGTTGTCGGTGATCTTACAAGACTACCAAGTACCTGCACAGGAGTGTAGTGATTAGACTTAGATATGAGTATGACCAGTGGCTGACCATTCTGTGGGCTAATCTCGTACTTGGTCTTCATAATCATAGCTATTGCTCTCGGAACCAAGTTCGATCAGAGTCTGCCTCTGCCAAGGGCTCTGGTGAGATACCAGGCAACATTGCCTCGTGGTCAGCAACACGAAGCAAAGTTTTCCCTCAAATGATGCTTCACGTCAAAGGCATGCCCTGCTGTAAACCGACTGTATGAATTGCCAGTGATCAGCGCGCATCGCCACTGCCTCCGGGTCCATCCTCCGTCAACTCGGTCTCGAACATCTGCTCAGCAGCCTGACCAGTCGCCATTGTACGGCTCGCACGGGAGGGAGAGGGACGACCACATGGTTCTAGCATAGCGCCGATGCTTCCTGCTTCCACCCATGTGCAGACACAAGCTATGTTATCGGTCGGCAAGACGTCTTCCTCTGCTCAGCACGCGGAACAAGTTCACGTGGTACTCGCACCACCCCCGTTGCCATCGTGAAAAGGGAGCTGTCAAAGTATTCGGATTTATGCGTTTGGGGGTCGCCTCCCTCCCCAGACCAGACCACACCGACGTGTGGTCCTGCAGTAAGCTACCATGTAACAGTCTGTGCTGACAGACCTCCTTGCCCTTTACACCCTGAATCCTGGAAGTAGTTTGCCAACGCCTTGTGCAAAAGTAGTTTCCAAAGGAAGCTGATAGGAGGTGTGAGGACTTTGTGAAGGCCCGATGGTGCCAGAGGCCAAAGAACCCAAACACTCACAAACTTGTACTTCTTTTCCGGAAGCTCCGTCTATAGGCGCTTACCCAAGATATCCCCCTCCACATTCCAATGTGGGCCCGGGGTTACGCCAAACCCCCCGCCCCCCCCCCCCTCCCCCACCCCCCAATGTGTAGTTCATTTCGGGGTTTGGGTCAGATCGGGGTTTTGTACCCCCGACGATAGCACCAGGGCACTCTTATGAACTGGCGGCTGGTGATCCGAGTAACCATGGGTTTGGCCATCACCCACCCAACTTTATAAAGTAGCGGTCCCGTGTGCAAGACTGCCTGAAACCCGCACTCTGCTCGCATCTGCTCGCACATCCTGACCCCAAACCCTCCTTGCCTAATAAAATATCGCCCTGGTGTACTGGTTTTCCTGGGGCTGATTTGTCAGTGGGGCCGTTGTTTCTTCAGAGAGCTGAATTTACAGCGGATTTCGAGTGCTCAGAAAGCAAAGTTGTGTTTTCTCCTTTGTTTTCGGATGGAAGAACACGCCCAGCTCAAGCATTCAAAGGGAGTCGCATTTGGTGGCGGTAGCAACAGCGGTAGTAGTACCGGCTCCATCCCCAGTATTGAACCATTGTATTGCCCCTATGGACCTATGGATGAATACACTCCGTACTCAGGTGTTTCAGGATAGCACCAGTAGCCGCAGCAGCAATCATAAACTTCAGATACTTACAGTTCTGCCTGCATATATGTCGGGCGTGGACATGCCTGAACAATTGCACTCGGGTTGAAGATTTGGCGTACATGGTCAGGGGCGTAAGGTTTGGGGGCTCCAATTCAGAGAGTTCAGACGGGTGTTGAAAGCGGCTGCGAACTGCTTTAGGTTCCATCCCAAGGTCATATATAACATAAACTTTGGATTACATGGTCCGGGGCTATGGGCTGGATGGGCCGGGTTAGACTATAGTAACTAGTATTAGTCGTGGTTGCGATAGCGGAAAAGCTGGCCCGGCTCACGCAGTCAAACGGTAGTGGTACGATGTGGGAGTGGTAGTCGGTGGGAGTCGTGGTAATGGTACAGTAGTATGGTGGTGTGTCGTGGGGGCTCGGGTGGCACTAGGATGGCACTGGAAGAAATGGCCCTGGTACGAAAGGGTTTCCAACAGCCATACCACGTTCACGGGCCGATTTTTTGCAGCGGGATAAGGCTTCGGGCCCTGACAGAGGGGTATGGAGGCACGGTTCAGATGAGGTCATCCGAACCACGAGGTCCTTCAACAAGGGGGTGGTAAGCAAGGTCTTCGGAAACACCAGAGGGTCCTCAGAAAAAGTGAGGGGGGTAAGGTTTGCTAAACCACCAAGTCCTCATGAAATGGGGGAGGGGGGTGGGGTGGTAACACCCCACCTTCTCATAAGAAAATCGTTTCGTAAGGGTGTTCAGACCCCCCGTTTCATGAGGCCTACCTGGATGGGGATCCCAAGATCCAGCATCCTGCAACCCTTGCTTCCTCCTTCCCCAATTTCTCTGAGCATGCCAGCTCACGATCGCTTTCTCTTCTGCACGGTCCATGACACAAGGTGGTGGTGCCGTCATGGGGCTGTGAAGCAAACACCGAATGCGAAATCGCAGAGGGCATCGAGACTTCGGAAGGTTTAGCTTGGTCCTTATCAAAGCTTTAGACGTGAGCAAACTTCCCCCGCTACTTCGAGCCCATGTTGCCCCAAAAAAGATCGAATCCTAGGTTGCAAAGAGTTGCGGAAGAGCCTGGCGAAGGCGACGGCAAACATCTGCCAAGAGCGCCGTGCCCAACAACCGAGGCTTGACCTGCCCACGCTCGAGAGTTGAAAAAATCATTGCCATGCGAAATCCACTGAGAAACCAAACGCCAGCACCATTACAAGCTAGTCAAGCGTCGACAAGAATGGCACGCTAGATGTAGCATGATTGCACATCGCTGGTCAATCATGGTCAATCCTTTTCTTGTCGCCTTCCCTTCAACCCGGCCTTTAGGAGATCGACACAGCAGCTAACGAGAAGGTCGGTGTTATGCCCGCCAACGCCCAGTCACTTAGCGACTTAACTTTCCTGTTGCAGCTTTCGGACTCAACCCCGAGTCTCTGCTTTGACTCTAAGACCCCATGTCACGTTGATACAACCGCTTATACCTGCCTCTGGCTCTGCTGCTTCTTCTGCTGGCCTAGGCAGAAGCTTCAGTGCCAGACCCTGTTAGCATCTGGAATCTGGAAGCCATGCTTCTTCTTTACTGCTGCATGGCTACTCTGCGGGTGCTTCCGCTTCTTGACCAGCCCCCTCTAGCTCTTCCGGGACTGGACCAATACCAGCCTCTGGGCCTGCTGCCGGAGGACCTGCAAAGGCAAGCACACCATCTCCAGGCATGATACTGCTGGTACATGCTGATACCACCGATACCATCGCAAGCGCTCCATAGCATCACGCGCCTGGACTCGTCTCACGGGCCATGCGTGCCAGTGCTGCACTGACTTCTTGCATGTCCTCCAGCAGCTTCTGCCGGTCTTCTGCATCCAAGCTGGCTCCCAAGGCAACGCCATCTGCTTGACCGCGCTCCATGGTGCAGGGAGGTATACTGCACTACTTTCTACTCACCAGCTACCTGGTTTGACTGCCTGCTGCATCGCGGCAAATTGGTCTCCGTGCCGCTCGTGCATGCTGAAGCGAAAGTCTGAAAGAAGCGTGTTGATTACGTCGTAGTAGTAACATGGACGAGTAGAACCGTGTCAGACCTATGGCAGGCAGGCCGTGCATTGCTTTACCGGTTTCGTGCGTATTTCGGCTGAAAATTTTCTGAAACCATGTCAAGACAGCCTGCAGCACGCACTGTGGTCTTGCTCAAACTGGGCAGAGCCCTTTTGCAACGCAAAAATAACATCAAAGCCGGCAATGACTCAGTGCATGAAAACGACAGGCCCCATCGCCTTTGGAAAACTGCTTTCCCGATAGCGTCCAGAGCGGAGCGCCTCCAATGCCGATCTTTGAGCCAAGTTCCGATTACGCTCCTTCAAGCCATGCACCTGTAAGATTACTTACACGAGCGGGCCTTGTACGCCCTCTCTACAGCATAATGTCCAGGCCCAGGCGCTTCTGGCAGCGAGCAGAATCCTCACAAGACCAATGAGACCGATGCTGCCCGCCGGAAGCATGCGAAAACATGCGAATTTTCTGAATCTTCACAGAGTACAGGAAGAGCCGTGGATGGCCTTGCTTTCTCGAGCTTGGCAGCGTCCACCTTGAACTTAGAGACGCTGCAGGATGTGCAGTCACTCCATGTCACTCCCGTAGTCCTACTGGTTGCCTTCGAGTTTGAAATCCTCGTCATCCGGGCACTTTTCATTCTGAGGCTTCGGTAAAAGCAGCAGTTTCATGACTGGGCGCAATGCTGTGGACCACGTGCGCGAGATGCAAAAGCTGCCAGTGGCCCTGACAAGCAAGGCCGGTGAATCATGCTCAGCTGTGAGATGGTCAGCTGCAAAAGCTCAAGAATCTGCAAGAAGAACTTTAACTTCATGCGTTGAGATGCTGAAGCAAAACTTTGCCTTCACCGGCTCCTGTCTGCATGGCCCTGAAGGCAGGGATGCTCAGGCCGAGAGCGTTGTGAAGCTTCGGTAACCTTAATCAACTATCTAATCTGGAGCTGAAACTTTTGGAAATCTACTCCAGGGTCGGGCAGGTTTCACTGCTGTACTCCAACCATCTCCCAGACCATGCATAGAGGAGAAGCACGAAGTACAGGAATAGACGGGGTGACGCTGCTCGCTGCATCCCCAATTTTGCATTCAGACTTTCAGAGCGGCCACACGAATCTTGCATACTGGCTGTGGCTTGCTTTGGAAGCTGATGCTACGAATGCATGTGCAGAAGATGACGGCAAGACAGCCTTCATGCGAGCATTTTGGGTTGTCAGGGAAGATCCGGAAGAGCTAGATTCTCGCACCTATGAGATCACTTGGAAGTTGTACCTTCGCTGCTGATGGTCCAAAAGACTGCGCCGACCGTTTCGAGAGCTCTAAAGCTTGCATCTGAGAACGGCCTGACTTCCAGCAGCATGGAACATGGGTTAGGTTGCATCTCATCTCTGTTCACGGCTACTTTGCGCCTTAGATGAGCACCTTTAAGATGCACTTGTGAATCCTACTGCACGCCGTCTTGGCATGTTTCAGTTCGAGTGGGAAGCATGCACCGTGACATCCTTTAATTTATGCATCTTTATGCCATTCACTTGGACCGGGCGGCGGTGCCTCGGCCCTTGCCTGCCCTTGCCATCAAGAGCTACGCTGGCTGCGCACCAGTCAGCATACTTACACGTAACTAGTATCAAGTTTCGTTGAGACTGCTATTCCAGCTACGCTTAGCAAACGGTGCAAATACGACCAGTCCAGTTCTTAGACCCGCATAGGAGTTCAGGTTCAGTCTGATCTTGAAACTCCGCACCATGTCAAATCCCTGCACTTCTTACAGCCAAGAGCTGCGCGATGCTGGCAAAACGTGACTCATGCAGACATGTGCAGACGTGCCTCGGATTTGGCACTATTCGAACCTGGTTCATTTGTGCCACAACAGTGAAACAAAGGCATGGGGGGATGATAAGGCTGCATCAGCGTTTTGTATCAACTCCTCACGCCATTGTGGCTTGGGCTTGTGCCATGCGCGATCGCATGCACTGGCAACCTTCTATCGTCCTCACAGTGTGCAGTGGGAAAGAGCACAGGCTTTGTTGCTCAGCACACATCATCACACCTTGGGAACGATCAGCAGCTGCTGTTGCTGGTTCTGGAAACATGCACTGTTTGAACGAGTCTTGACTCATCGTCATCACACTGCTCACACACACAGTAGGTAGTACGTCATAGTACATCCGGAAGCTATGTATACAAGATGGATGCACACCGTCGCCGAATGTCGCCACGCTGAGAGGAAGCGGGATCTTCTGACGGCACCGGCTTCAGACCAGAGTATCCTTGCTTCAAGATGCACGATACGAAGCCTGATCCCCACCATCATTGGAAACCCGCGACCCTAAACTGCACTACCTCTGTCCAGTGCGGGCGCTCCCGCATTCTCCAAACCTTACAGTAGACCATAGCGACATAGTGAAAGCTGATCCCATCTTCTGCACACACACCGAGGATATAAGGACAAAATGAATGTCACGCCGCTATGCATATTCTGGCTGAGACGAGTTGCTGTGGAATTCACCGCATCGTGAAACCTGTCAAGCTTCAAGATGAAGACTTACCGAGGTGCAGAAAGAGAAAAGCACGACCCTGTGGTCTGAACAGTATTTGGGGAGCATCCCATCGTACAGAAAGGACAGATGATGCCGGTCAGGCAGGTGTCGGCATCCTTGCGTTCATCATTCTTGATACTGTACCATTGAATTGCTCCAAAACCTGCGTGCCCTGTTGCAATGACTTTGACCTTAATTCAGGCTGTAAAGCTTCTATCGGGCCCGACGCACAAGCAGCAGATCACTTTCTGCAAGCCATGCTTCATTGATGACTCGACCGGTCAAAGAGCTGGCCTGTCCAACAACGTGCACTTCGTGCACGCACTTCTTTCATGTTTCAGGTCGGCCTGGCTGCCATGAGTGATGTGAGGCTTTCGTGACAGTACCCATACTAGCGCTGCCTGCCGCGCTGCTCCGCATGCATATCACGGCCTTGGCAACAACAAGCTGAGCGTGGACCATCCTGTGAGGTTGACTTCCCCTTGGGTGCAGACTCTGGTAGCCGCCCGAGTCAGTGAGACCTTGGCTCAGGACTCTTGTGGATGGGGCGTGCCGACAAACAATCAAACTGATGGTGCGCATATGCACGCCCGAATGCCGTTTCCTCAGGCAATCGTGGCCTGGTGCATCCGGGGCTTGCCGTAAACAGGTAGCTTCAGCATTGACACAGCGATTGATGAGACGGTCGTAACCTTGTTAAGATCACAGATCACCAAACGAGACTCTGTCTGTTAAAGCCATGTGTTCCAATGTCATGTGGAATGCATCACGGCTTCGCAGCTTGTCCTTAGAGGCTTAGCCTCTTTATCTTGGGGGTGAGCTCAGGGCGCGTCTGCCCGATCCTTTTGGAGAATAGCCGAATAGCCTCTTGAAATTCGCCTCGCCCCCACCCGAAGCGGTCAGCTTCTGACAAAACTCCCCTGTTCTCCTCCACATCTTTCCTCTGGATCGATTCGTGGTAAAGTCGTGTTCTCCAATGGACTTCATTTTCCACTTCTCCCAATTTCCCTCCCTCTCCACCCATCGAATCCCGCTTGACCCCTACCCCCCTCCCCGCTCTGCCCCCCGGGCCGAGGCGGACGATGCGAAGCATTTACAGTTAAGCCTTTCTTTGATTCAGCTTTCTGTGCTCTGTGATATTGCAGGGACGTGTGCTTGTGGCAACCACTGGCCAACCCGTCACACTGTCCGTTTGACGTGACGACCCTGTGCGATCGAGTGCATGTCCACGGTGCGACCCTGCACCGGAATAGCGTGCAAGCACAGGTACCTCTCGCGTGTCTATATAT